AGCTTAGTACAGGGAAAAGCCTTTACCAGTGAGCCTGGCTGTAGATTCTGGGGCCTTCTCAAATCTTTTCTCTGGATGTGTCTTGGACTTAATGTGTGTAGATTCCACATTAAAGGAATTTTCCAGTTGTCTTTTTTCAGAAGCTTGTACTCTTTGTATCCTTTGGTGTTCATCTGTTGTACTCTGGATCCTATGAAGTAGCAGCATACCACTCAGCTCATTTTTGTTCTTGGTGGCCCCTAGGCAGCTTGAGTAGGCTGGGTGCTGTCACTGCCCTAGGTCAAACTAAACAGAAACCAGTCCTTCAGGCAGTCCCCCCAAAAGCCAGAATGTTGGATACTCTTCCCCCCCCCCCCCGCAGGGAGAGGTTGCTGAGCTGCATTGGTTTTTGTTTGCTGTCCTGTGGATTCTCTGAATCTGCAGCTTGCCACCCAGCTTTTTTTTGTTGTCAGCAGGCCTCAGGCACCTAGGGTATACAAGGTCCCATCTGTTCTCCAAGATGTTCAGGAAAGAAACTAGTTCCTCACGCAGCCCCTACCCCAAGTCAGAATGTTGGTTGTGAAGTCCTGTCTTCTCTTTCTATCCACAGGGGGAATTTGGGAGCTGGGAGTTTTTTTTTTTCCCCAATCAGGTGGTGCTGTGCCAGGAGGAGGGACTATGCTGAAAGGGTGACATGAATTTTTCTGCTGGCTTTGATGCACTTGGTTTAGTGCTCACCTAGGGTGCAGGAGCCTCTTAACTGGTTTCTGAATTTCTCATGAAGGGAATTGGTATGTGTATTGTTGTTGAGTTGGTGTTTCTTTGGGAGGAAGGAAAACCTGGGGCTTCCTGTTCTGCCATCTTGCTGATGCCACTCCCATCAAGTTCAAGTACCTTCTTAAGTGAAACTGGCTTTTGTTTTGTGATTGGTCATGAAAAATAAAATAACTTGGTGACATCTTACATGGGACTGGCTTTATTCTTTCCTTTGATTTCTTTTTTTTTTTTTTAAAGATTGATTTAAGAGAGAGAGAGAGAGCATGCACATGTGGGTTGGGGGAGAAGCAGAGGGGGAGAATCCCAAGCAGACTCTCCATTGACCAGAGAGTCCAATATGGGGCTCGATCTCAGGACCCATGAGATCATGACCTGAGATGAAATCAAGAGTCTGATGCTCAACCAACTGAACCACGCAGGTGTCCCTCTTTTGATTTCTTGATCACAAAGAATCAATGAAGCAGTTTGATGCAAGTGCCTTGATATGTTAAGGTGCCTGCAGACTTTCCTTCCTTTTCTTTTGAACTGTTAGTACAGGGGCACCTGGGTGGCTCAGTTGGTTAAGTGTCAGACTCTTGATTTTGGCTCAGGTTGTGATCTCTCAGGATTGTGAGATTGAGTCCTGTGTGGTGCTTCGAGCTGGGTGTGGAGGCTGCTGAGGATTCTTTCTTCCCTCTGCCCCTTCCCCCTCTAAGAAAAAAAGAAAGGAACTTTTAGTGTAAATGTTAATACTGCAAAAAAGGGAAATGAAGTGTTAGTATTATTATTAATATGGTTTTGACCTTGCAGAATTCTAGAAAGTGTCTTGGGCATCAGGGTTATGTGAACCACACTATTAGAACTGCTACTTTAAGGGTGCCTGGATGGCTCAGTTAGTTAAGTTACCTGCTTTCTGCTCAGGTCATGATCCCAGGGTCCTGGGATCAAGCCCTGTATCGGGCTCCCTGCTCAGTGGGGAGCCTGCTTCTCCTTCACCCTCTCCTGCTCCCCCTGGTGTGTTCTCTGACTTTCTTTGTCAAATAAATAAATAAATAAAATCTTAAAAAGAACTGCTACTTTATGAAATTATAATGGTTCCTTTCTATTCCTATTTTTAAGTCTTTTTAAAAAAATAGTGAATGGTTGTTGAATTTTGTCAAATGTCTTTTATGTATCTGTTGAACTCGTGTGATTTTTAAAAGCCAGTTTAATGTGAATTAACTTGAATGAACTTCGTGTGTTTGGGATAAACCCACATAAGTCTTGATGTATTTCAATAATATTTTTCCATTTATATATTTAATACTGCACATGTTTAAATACAAGCCACTGTTATTATTAACAGTTAATATTCATTTAGAATCATTCATATACTTGCCACATTTTCCTCATTTCTTGCTTTAATGCTAAAGTTCTCTCTGGAATAATTTTTATTCTGCCTAAAAAATGTCCTTAAGTGTTTATTTTAGTGTATAAATCAGTTATTTGTTTGAACTTCAGTGCTTATTTTGTCTTTTTCTGGAACTTGGAACTTTGTTTTTTGGGTATAGAGTTTTAGATGGGCAGATAGTATGTTTTAGCGCTTTGGATGTATCTTTCATCTATATCTTGCATTCTGTGGTGTTGTTGAGAAGTCCTGAAGAACTGTCTTTTTTTTTCCCTCAGGTGCTTTACTGATTTGTCTTTGGGTTTCTCTAGCTTTATTATGATGTTCCAGTTGTGGACTTCACTTCAGTTGTAGAAAACTGAATTCTTGGCTATTATTTCTTTAAAAGTTGTTTTTGTCCTGTTCTCTCTTTCTGGAATTCCAATTAAGCATATCTCTTTTCACTGTGTTGTGTATATCTATTTCTTTACAATGTTTAAATCTAATGAAAAGATATTTAAAATACACTTTTTTTAAAAATTTTCAGATTTTTTGTTTTTAAACTTTATAATTGGAAAAAAAGTCTCATGAGAATATAGGATACTAATGAAATCATCAATCAGCTTTGGTAGTTCTCAACTGCTGGCCAATCTTGTTTCACCTATAACCCCATCCATTTTCCCATTCTCATTTTATCTGTGAATTTTTTAGTACTATCTTTTAAAGATACATTTTTTAAAAGATTTTATATATTTATTTGACAGACAGAGATCACAAGTAGGTAGAGAGGCAGGCAGAGAGAGAGGGGGAAGCACACTCCCTGCTGAGGAGAGAGCCTGATGCAGGACTCTATCCCAGGACCCTGAGATCATGACCTGAGCTGAAGGCAGAGACTCAACCCACTGAGCCACCCAGGCGCTCCTAAAGATACATTTTTATAAAATTTATAAAATCATTTTTTTGATGATTTATTTGAGAGAGCATGAGAGAGAGAGAGAGAACTGGGGGGAGGGGCAGAGGGAGAGAGAGAGAAACTCAAGGCCACTTCTTTTTTTTTTTTTTTTTTTTTTTTTTTTTT